AAATGTATTTCAGGTGTCAAAAAAAAGGTCACATAGAAGGATATAAGGAGATATATAAAAAAGTATATAAACGGGTAACCACGTTGTTGTAAACAGAGCGACCGGGTAATGTTCATAGCCGACGTAGTTAGACGGTGGACATGCGTCAGACGATAGTGGTTGGGTAGAAGATGTTACCGTCATTTCCGGGCAGGCAGACAGAGATGAAAGAAAAATTAAGTAAAAAGTTTCAGAAAATGTTCCCACTACCTCTAGTCAAGAAATCATTTCCTTTCAAAAGTTGGATTTTTTTTTTTTGTTGGGTATTGAAAATCTTTCTCTCTTTTTTTTTCTCTTTTACACAAAAAATATATGGATACAAAATCTACATAGTCTATAATATCTTCTCTTTTTTTTTGCTAGCTTAACTGCAGACATTGCAGACTAAAAATCACTGTCTACAAACTAACTACGCTTCAGGAATTCAGCTATGAAACCCTCTCGCTGTCAAAAAGGGGAAGGTTTTATACTATCTTACTATCATTGCTTCGTGCTATCCAGATGCTTCAAGATAACACTTCCGTATTTCAAAAATAAAGTATACATTGTTTAAAAAATTAGAAGAGAAAAAAAAGCAACAGCATCGTTTGTAAAGATTCCACAAACAAGAATTCTAAAATCGCCCATGATTTCGAATTCATGGGAGAAAGAGAGTGGAAAAAAATATAAATATATAAAGAGAAAATGGTAAAATGTTGCAACGTGTTCATGATTCTATTAAAACCAAAATCAAAAAAACAAAAAAGGAAAAAAACGAAAAAACAAAACAAAACCGTGGCATCTTCCAACCTACCTTCCAGACAGGTTTTGTTCGGTTAAAGAGTAAAATTACCCGTCACGACTCGGACGCGATGCCATAAATATAATGAATAAAATGACAGATACGGATGTCCTAGCCTAATAGAGCAATCGAGTCAAGCAAAAGCTCAGGACAAGGGTGTTCTTAAGCCAATTTTGATCACTGGAAACTTTTCACTGAGTCTTAGAGTCTTTGAAATGTATTTTAAGCCAGTGTAAATCTTTCGGTTCTAAGTCCAGAATCGGTCGGTGTGAAAAATACTATTTGCTCTCATAAACATACTGGGAATGAGAGTATTTTAATTCCGTGAGGATATACATCTTGTCAATTGAACTTTTGTTTGATCGAAACATTCTAGCAGCCTTCCCTTTATTTTTTTTTAAACTAAAAACTCTAAGAAAACATCAATATCCATTCTCTCTCCCCCACATTCAAACACATCTCTTACACAAATCCAATGAGAATTTTATAAATCTTGACCTTCCTGGTGAAAATAACTTTAGAGGAATTATCACCAAGATTGGCTCCTAATTCCATAGAATATTTTAGGTACAATTCACCCACGCTGCTTTCATTCGACGTCTAAGAAGCTTTCTAAACCAGATCCTTCCCATGCAAAGTCCATCCACGCAGCATATGAAGACCACCCACTGACCAGGCCCTCCCTTCTCATCCACTCGCACAGCCGCTCCGTGTACTAAGAGCATCTAAGAGTAGTCGGGAAAAAGAATACCACATTCCTTTTCATCAACACAGACCTCCTTATCTTCTTCCTCCTGCTCCTCCTCAGCCGCCGTGAGTTCCTGCGCGTTTGCCAAGTTATCGACGGCGATAGCCAAGAACACATTTAGGAGAGTGTAGTTACCGAAGATCACCAAGATGATGAAATAAAGGCTGTAGATCATGCCGGACTTAATACCACCCTGTGAGGCGATACCATTGTACATGACCTCGTTCCAGTCCTCACCCGTGAGAATCTGCCAGGAGAAAGGTTGTTAATCGGGGGCAGAGGCTTAGCGGTTCGCGAGTCCTCCTTACTTTGGATCAGATCTAAACGAAAAAAAATAATCTAACTATCTTCTCTTTCTAATAACTACTTTAAAATGCTTCAAAATCCACGTTATATAAAAAAAATAGTACACATCCTATTATACGAGAAAAAAAATTATCATCTATGTAGTAAAAATAACAACAACAACAACACAGCAAACAACAAACAACATCAACAACACGTGGAACAAACGGCAGTAGGATTCACCTGAAACACTGTTAGGAGAGCGATGGCGAAAGTGTTGAAGTTAGCGAGCGGAGTTCCTTCGGGAAAGTTGAAGGAGCCTCCGAAGAGTTGCATACCAAGGAGGGCGAAGATGAGGATGAACAAGAAGAGCAGGAACAACAGAGAGATGATAGACCTCATCGAACTCAGCAGTGAGATCACCAGGTTACGGAGGGAGGCCCAGTACCTGAGGGAGGGAGCGGGGTCAGCTGTGCACGCGGTGAAGACGTCAGTAATCAAAGATGATATATATCTTTTTTCTTATTCATTGGAAAATAAATGAGGTAGTGATATACATGTTTTTCTCTAATCCATGAAAAAAAACACTCAGCCGTCACCCTCACTTTGTAACTTTGAATATCCTCAAGAGACGCAGGGCTCGAAGCACCGACAGACCAAAGGAGCCAGACTTGAAGGACGACCAGACGACCTCAAAGATGGACCCGCTGATGACGACGCAATCGAACCGGTTGAACGAGGACTCGAAGTATATTCTTGCCCCCAGGGCGTACATTTTTACAAACATTTCAGTTATGAATAGACCTAGAAATATAAATTCTGCATAGTCTGCAACGGGAAAGAAGAAGCCGAGGGTTAGTGGGCGATCTTGGGCCGTGAGAGTGTGGAATAAGAGGTTTTGTTTGTTATTGTTGTTAGGGTTACTGCTGTTTCGATTGTTAGAAGGCTAATGGTCTTATTGTTATGGTTATTATTGTTATTATTGTTATTATCATCATTGTTATTATCAACAATATTATTACTATTGTTATTGATATTATGATCATTATCATCGTCATTATTGGTATTACTATTATTATCATCATTGTTATTATCAACAATATTATTACTATTGTTATTGATATTATGATCATTATCATCGTCATTATTGGTATTACTATTATTATCATCATTGTTATTATCAACAATATTATTACTATTGTTATTGATATTATGATCATTATCATCGTCATTATTGGTATTACTATTATTATCATCATCATTATTATTATCATCATCATTATTATTATCATCATCATTATTATTATCATCATCATTATTATTATCATCATTGTTATTATCAACAATATTATTACTATTGTTATTGATATTATGATCATTATCATCGTCATTATTGGTATTACTATTATTATCATCATCATTATTATTATCATCATCATTATTATTATCATCATTGTTATTATCAACAATATTATTACTATTGTTATTGATATTATGATCATTATCATCGTCATTATTGGTATTACTATTATTATCATCATCATTATTATTATCATTATTGTTATTATTGTTATCATTGTTACTGCTATTGTTATTATTATTATTATTATTATTATTGTTATTATTATTATTATTATTATTATTATTATTATTATTATTATTATTATTATTATTATTATTATTATTATTATTATTATTATCATTATTATTATCATCATTGTTATTATCAACAATATTATTACTATTGTTATTGATATTATGATCATTATCATCGTCATTATTGGTATTACTATTATTATCATCATTATTTTTGTCAATATTGTTACTGCTAGTACTACTTTTATTATTATTATTATACTATTACTACTAATAATACTGATGATGTCGATAATAATGATTATAATGATCATTATCATCAATAATAATTCTCATTATTATTATTGTTATTAATTCATTATTATCATCAGTATCATTAATATTACAGCTACCATTAATACTGCTTTCACTGATATCAATAATTAGCATAAGATAATAGTTTTCTTATTACCAACATAATGATTACAATACAGATATTACGTTGTTACTGTTTTCATATTTGTTATTGATAATGTTAGATGTATTATTATATATACAATTACAGTGACTATTATCTCTAGGTTACTACTTCTACCATCATAACTAAACAAAAAAAAAATTCCCTCATTAATTAAGCACAGTAACCAAATTCTAAATAGAAGTCATTTTTTATATATACGAAATGAGGAAAAACAACAACAGCAGGTCATAAGCAGCCGGGGGTGTTCCTTACACAAAAATTTAGTGAGCCAGTCGGGTTGGCCGTAATGTTCGGCAGCCACGCAAGCTGTGTTGAGGAACACCAGGATGATAACGAACCAGTAGAACCACTGTTGTTTTACGGTTCGCCTGATGCCAAATCTGGGGATAGGAAGGGTGGTTTTAGAGATAGTTTTTTTTTTTTTTTTTATTATCCGGAGGTGTGTGTGTGTGTGTGTGTGTGTGTGTGTGTGTGTGTGTGTGTGTGTGTGTGTGTGTGTGTGTGTGTGTGTGTGTGTGTGTGTGTGTGGAGTGTGTGTGTGTGTGTGTGTGTGTATGAACACACACACACACATCAATATATAGCGTTGATAAATATGAATAAACTTCAATATATCTTTAAAATATAAAAAATAAAAGCCATATTAGCTAGAACAGCTTTATCACAAACAAATAAAACTCGACGAACATGAAAACAACAACAACAACAACCTTACCTTAATCTTTTTTCTGCTTTCCAAAAATTCTGACAGGCACCTTGTTTCTTCACTTTGTTTTTTAAGTAGGAAGCTCTCGACAAACCTGAGCAAGGAAAGAGCTTGCGTTAAAGAATCATATAATGGAGTATAATACTTTAATGACATCGACTTTTGTTTTTTTTTTCTCTTTTTTTATCACACTATCAATTCATTAACTTCCTTAAAAGACACGTTATAAAGTAAACTAAGACTGTAACTACTCTACAATACGATACTTCCTAATTCATAAAAAATACGATCCCTCAAAATACTGTCATGGGTTTCAAAGATCAAAACAGAGAGGTTGCCACTTCCCCTGTACAGATGAGGTGGTCATAGGGCTGTATTTATGCAAATATGGAAGCCAAAATGGGTTGTATAGCATTGTAAGAATCACAGGCCTGCACGTGACAGTCACAAACTGGCTGCAATATAAAATTCACAAAAAAGAGAGAGAGAAAAAAAAAACAGTAGGATTTAAAGACGGGATGAGACAAGAAGCCGGGTCTGTATCTAGAGAAAATGGGATTATATGTAGCATAGAAAACGGACACAAATCTATAGAAAATGGAAGGAGTTCTATCCAAAATGGGTAACTAGGAAAAAAAAAAATCACAGAATCGATAAAGACATAAAAATATTCAAAATCAGCCTTTCAGTTTTCATATAATCACACAGGATAGTTGGGAACCGAACTATTAGGATGTTCACTATGGGAAAGACCAATCTTCTAGACATTTTGAAAGATTAGTTAGTCATCGTTAGGGAAAAGAGTCTATCCCGTAACTTCAAGAAAGGAGGGAAGGTGGTATCTCGTTATAATCTTATCTTAGTTGTTAGCCAAGACACTAAAATTTCTTGAGGGAATTTACAGTAACTAGTAGTAGGAGTAAGTAATCCGTCTCAGGACTGGCCAGAGGGACTGTGTGGCCACTAATCCTACACAACTTCCAGTCCACTTTCCCTTTGCATGATGACTCGAGCGACTGCTCTGCCTGACCACGAGTCCCAGGGGCGCCGCAGCAGCCAGGGAGGAGGCTGAGTGCTCCTGTGACTCCGCCTCAGGCACTGGGCAGTCCGACTCACGCATCACTCGCGCCAGCAGGCAATGGGACAGGTGGATCCTACGTCACACTACGCTTACTATACTATTGTAACACATTAAAGCAACTGAAACTACTGGTCTTATGATATCCTTCACTGTGGAAGACATTATTCATTTTGGTTTTCCCCATAAGTAATGGGATGGAATATACCAAAGTGTCAAAAAAGTTTTGAGATGGGTTGTATTTCTTCATGGTTGTTTACCACTGCGTACAGTGCTATGTAAGCTTTATATACACTTCTACAGAAAGCTTGGGTCAGACCTCTGCTACATCCTCGATTGACCTCTGAACTCTGTTGCCTGAAGGCCATTGTTCGTCATAGGTTACTTGTTAAAAATAGCAGGTAAACAGTCTACGAGTAACACCTGTCTACAGTCGGTTTTGTTCTTACTCCCTTTAAGTGTCAATAACACCGTCATGGTCGTGCTTCTCGTCCTATGATTCTTAAAATTATAATTATTTACTGTATAACTTTTAACATCATGTGTTACTAAAATGAAAGTAATATTCATTATTCTTATTGATATTATCGCTATTACCTGAGGTGTTATTGACAAACAAAAGGAAGAAAGAGCTTCACCTCGTTCTCCTTTAGTACATTTTGGTAACCAAAGTACACAGAGGTGTGTGTGTACGGCATGCTTGTATCCAACACAACACTCTCTCTCCCTCACGCATACGCACATTTGAGCATACACAGGCATACATAAGGAGGTCATACTTACATGGACAACAACCTAGGAAAAGGGAAACAGAACATCATTGTATAGGTATCACTAGCAGCCTACTAGCACGACTCTAAGGAAAACTGAGCCCCCGGCAAGGGTCTGAACGGGGCCGTCTGTGACTCAGCCCCTGGTCACCTCAGGAACCGAGGTCAGGACTCAGTTTTGTCTTATCGATCGGCAGTGCTAATGTACATATCAGGGTAAGTAAAAATTTATCTTTAAGGGAAATGTTGTAGCTTATCTAAACTTAAACTAACCAAAATACCTAAGGGCAAAGTATACAGTATTATATATATATGCATATCATGAATTTAAGTCTCATGGGAACAGGCTTGGACAATGACTAACAGGGGAAAAATATACATGGAATGGAGCAGTCTAGTTCTTCTCTAAAATAGTAGAAAATTCCCTTTACTGAAAATATATCACATTTAATGGAGACTATTTGAAGATAAACCATCCATACACATTTCGTAGAGCAATGTAGGGGAAAAAGACAGTAAGGGAATGTCAATAAACAACAAACAACAATGACAATGACAAACGTGCAGTCATCTTTGGAAAAAAAAAATAAAACATTAAATCTAGTTATAGTTAAATGCAGGACATAGTAACTGATAGAAGGAGATGAGTGTGGTCTATTCTCATATAGAAGTGTTTCATTTAAGTTTACTGGGAACATAGTTGACATGGAGGAAAACTGACATCACTTGACTTTTAAGTTACTTCTAGCCAGGAACAAACGCTTCAGGACATATCATGCGAGGGGTAGAGTCCATGAAGTGCACTGCAGTGAGCAAGAGGGCGGACTGAAGTTTGCAGTTAAGGCTGAGGAAGTTATGAGGAATTGCAATAGGGGTTTTTATTGATTCTTTTGTTGTTGTTGTTGTGTCAGAGGGTTGCTAATAAAGATATATACACAAATTTCTGTGTCATTTTGGAATCATTACGGGATAGTTTTCCTAGTGTGATATGAAGGAGCTACAGCTCGGGAGAGTGTCATGATGATCCTGTATTGAATGAACTTTGATGCTTAGCGTGGTGTCGTTCCTCAGAACATTTCATTGGTTCTCGCGCGATTTCCATGAAATTAACTGTAAGCCAGAGTGAAGGGACTGTTTGGACTTTACATACTTACATGCATGCATATATATATATATATATATATATATATATATATATATATATATATATATATATATATATATATATGAAATATAAATACACACATACATGCATATATATAAATAAATATATATATATATATATATATATATATATATATATATATATATATATATATATATATATATTCTTATATATATACATATATATAATATACATAAATACATATCATATAAATATATATATATATATATATATATATATATATATATATATATATATATATATATATATATATATACGTATATATGTATATATGTATGGCATGTATGCAAATATGTATGTATACACATATATGCAGTGTTCCTGGTATGGTGTACTTTCCACATGAAGTGTCCCAGGAGAGTAAGGGATTGAGGACCCCAGCAAAGTGTCCCTGATGCATGAATGTACTTATTACAGCCTTTTATCAGTGGAGGAACAGATGTTGGTCAGTATGCTTAGTCAGTAGAGTGACAATCACTTTCTAACTTCCTCTCTGCATCGAATAACTTACGTGGAATACGAAGTAGCAAGGAATTGAAGTAGACTCTATCAAATCGGGATCAGAATAGAATGGATTGATAAGATTATGAAATACATTGTGTGTGAACCTTGAACATTCACAGAAGCAATATCTGTCTTTTGGAAGTCATAATAGGGATGAAGAACAATAAATCTGAAATTCAAAGCTTTTCATTAGCAGAATTGAGCTAAATACTGCTAGTCCTTACGCTCACTTTACTATAGTCTAGAAGTCTACGATATTAAATACAGTTTGACAGAACTCTACACTACATTGCAATCTACTGTACTGAACAACTTACAATATCACGTAATGATAACACGTATGTCGACTCTACTGGTTTAAGTCGACAGTAAGTCATAGATTCGCGTTTTGAAGTCGACTACAGGATCGAATTTAGGCAAGGAACCGCGCCATTTAGGGGGAGGGGAGGGGGAGTCGAGTCACCAGGGAATAAATTGGCGTTTCGGTGTTCTCCAAAAAAAAAAAAGAAGAAAATTGGGGGTTGATTTTTAAAGGGGGGTTTGATATCTTTTTTTCTTTTTTTGAAATGGGGGGGGGTGGATTTTTTTTAATGGGGGTCGGGAGGGGGGGGGGAGTTATTGTGGGTTAAGATTTCATCTTTTTTTTATTGTTGAGAGGAGGTAATGCCGGCATTTGTGACGTGAAAGAGGAACGCTGTGGGGGGTGGGCTCTTTTTTTGAGGGGGGGGGGGAAGTGAATAAAAAAAAATGGGTGAGGGGAGGGAGGGGGTAGGGAGGGTATTTTTTTTGAACTGTGAGGTTGGTCTGGGTAAAGAATGGAATGGGGTGGGGGGGGGTAACGCAATATAGAGTTTATTGATGAATGTGATGTAGGATTTTTAATTTGAGGATATGTTGCAACATCAACTGAGCTTTACGGGAGTACATTACAATTCTATTTTGTCTTTTTTTTAACAATACAAAAGTGCGTTTCTCATTGGTCAGAAGAGCGACATGAACATCCAGAATGCACAACTGTACAAGGAACTTCGGTAGCTGACAGTACCAGCTTTCAAAATAATCTATCCATTCAATCTACATAATAAACTTTAATTGATTATCTCATATCTAATGGAACTGAGACTCGACCGTGCGTACGGAGCATAAATCGATACCTAACTAATAAAGGGAACGATTTTAGTTTAATAGGATTTTTGGGTTTATGGATATAGGTAAAAAAAATGGGTTAAAATGAGTTAAATTTTATATCTTTCTTTTTTGGGGGGGAGGGAGTAGACAAATGACTAAATGAATGTTCAAGATCAAAATCCACGTGAAAATTGTTCAAGATCGGGGCATTGCTTCGGGAAATGAGCATTGCCAAAAGTGAATGGTTTAGGGTCTTTAATATTTGGAGATAGGAAGCAGGTTTGTTTGTTTGTCTGTTTTAAAACAAAATCTACATCTTGTAAAACAAATCTACATGGTTACTAGTGAACAAGCCATCTGTTCTTCACCGTACAATATAAAAGGCTGAGTGTATACTTTGAAAAAAATATATATATCACGGGAAAATA